CCATCTTATATACCTAAACTTGATGCAAAAATCCAATATATGACCTTAGAATTACCCTAGTTACCTTATTGGGCTTTTCCATAGTTTCATAATTTACTTTGCTAAATTCGCAAAGTTTTTATTATTACAAGAATGCTCTACATATTTTTGCAATTCTTCCGTATTTAACATTTTTCAAAGTCACTTACATCATGACACCAATTACTAACCAAATACCAAAAATCAGCATTTCTTATCGTCGAACTGACGGTCTGATGCTTTGGTTCTAGTCAACAACTGCCCAGCTGCAAATAACCTTACCTATTTTTAGGGAAAATGTACGATCACCTAAGATCGTACACACTACATTACGGAAAAACTGCCAAAACCGTGAATTTAAATAAAATAAATATTTAACTCACAACAAGAGCAGCAAGTTGCTGACTTTGGAAAGCGGCATCTATTGGCACCTAGAAATTATTTTCCTCATTCTGCCGATGACTACTGCCCTCTGGCGGAGGCGATCGTTCAACTGGCATTGAATCAGTATGTAATTTTTTTTTATTTTTATTTTTTATTTTTATTTTTTATTTTTGTTTTTGTTTTATTTATTTATTTTTTTTTATTTAGTGTTTATTTATGTTTAAATTAAAAGTAATAAATTTTTGTAAATATTTTATTATTAATATTCTATCAATTAATTTATAAATTTAAGTTTAAGTGAACACAATTGCACAATTGCGCGATGTCAGACAAGCAGGTTTTAAAAATTTTTTTATGAATTTGATTGATATGCAACTCTTTGCTTTTGAGCTTTTAGGCTTTGATTGGTGTCTCTATCAGCTGTTTTGTTTACATATGATAAAAGCAATTGAACAAACTAAAAAATGCTTTGTAAAACCAAAAATTGTTTTTTTCAGTTAGCAACTGATTTATAAAGCCAATGAGCGCATCATCAACACCCAGACGCGAGATCGCGCTTGCTATTGCACTCGGAAGTATGTTGTTGAAGGCCCCTTCAATATCTACAAAAGTAACCATACAAAATTCTTTGAGTTTAATGGATTTTTCTATTCTATAAGTGAGGGAGTGGAGAGCTGTCTCCGTAGATTTTCCTTTAGTGTAGGCATACTGTAGTTGGGGCTTACAGCACGCCTTACTTCTATGTCTATGATTCTTTCAAGGGCCTTCAACATGAAAGACGAAAGGCTTATTGGACGGAGTTCATTGGGGTTATGGTGCGAGGTTTTTCCTGCATAGTTAAATAAGAAACAATGTCTAAAAAATGCCAAAAGCCGGTTGTGTATTAACTCCCAAGAATTCTGGAGCTCAATTGGATGAATACCATCCGGTCCTGGTGATTTGTAGGGTCTAAAACTAAAAATAACCTATTTAACGATCTGCAGGTTTACTTTAATAGAGTAAACCGGTGAGAGACTAAGGCACTCTGTGGATGCAGTTACCAAAGATCTGAAAAGTGAATATCTAGTAGTAATTGTAATGAATCACTACTATTGTTGCACCCTGTCCCGTCAGGTTTTTTGAGTAACTCAAGGACAGATGGATTTTTGGATAACATTTTACGCAGTTTAGAGGTTTCAGAATTGCTGTTTATTTCTTGACAGTATGACTGCCAACTATTTCTCTTGGACCTACGTAAATTTTTCTTATATTCTTGCAGAGAGGTCTTTTATTTCAGCTAATCACTCTCATTATTGTATAATTTTGCCCTACTGAAAAGTCTCCTACACTCCTTTCGTAAAAGATCTAAATACTTATTCCACCAAGGTGGGTTGCATTTTTTACTAGGTCGAGTGGGGGGACAGGCATAATTAAAAGCTTCATTGAGCACTGAAGTGAGATCTTGGACTTGATTGTCTAGATCAACAGTGTTCCCAGGGGGATCGAAGGAAATGCGTAATAGCAGCTCACTTAGCGCTGCATTATAATTCGTCCAGTTTGTATTTTTAACATTTCTAAACGTTATTTGATTGTAGATGATCGATCCATCCAAGGTTAAGGTGAATTCTAGAATCATATGGTCTGAGAACGAGTGTTCAGTGGACATTTTCCAGTTCTTGACCGATTCGTGAAGCCTAGCAGTAGCAAAGTGACATCTAACACTTCCTGCCTGTTTTTAGTAATAAAAGTTGGCATATTGCCATCATTGTAGATGAAAAGATTGTAACTAAATATAAAATCAAAAAGTAACTCACCTCTTTAATTAGTGTTTGAGCTGCCCCAAACCTCATGATGAGCGTTGGCATCGCAACCTATTAGAAGCTCTACTCCGAGTCTCCTGGCGCTGCTTATTAGCTGTATCAGGATATTCGATGGTAGTGTGGCGTGGTCATGTGTCAGATATGCAGATACTGCCCATATTTGGCCCCAGGAGCCCTCGATACTTACTGCGGTTTGGTCACCGTCACTATATTGCGAAAGTAAAAGAGCATTAAATTTTTTGTTAACCAATATGCAGGACCTAGGCTTACCCTTATTTACCGCATAAAAAAGGTTGTAGTTTTTCGCCCTGATTCCGCATACAAGATCCTTATAAATGCATGGTTCTTGTATCAGAAGTATATCAGCCTCGTTGTTGCTGAGGCGCTGCAGTAGACTGGCGGATGCAGCCTTGCTATGATGCAGGTTAACTTACTCTACCCGCATCTTCAGTATATGTGGATCCATTTTTCTCCACCACAGTGACGTCAAGAGCACTATCCTCCTGAGAGTCATTACTCATTAAGAGTTCCTCTTCATCGAAAAGATGGCGCATGCCTATGCTCTCCTCTGATGTATTTGAGTGAGCTGGCGAAGGAGCAGACACCGAAGTGTCCATGCACACAGGTGAGTCTTCAGATGGAATAACCGGACTCACTTCGGTCATGGAAGCAGGCTTAATGTTCCCCACTTTCGATAGGGGATCAGCAGTGTGTTGAGAAATTGCCGCTGAGTCCCGCACATCAGACGAGGAATGCTCCTCATCTTTTTTGTAAACCCTCATAGTTAAGGGGAAAAAACCGTAATTTAATACGCCACTAGATCGCGCCAAAATGGCCAGAGAGGCTTTGTCGATCATAAAACTGACCGACCTAAACTTGCCTTTGGCTTCTTCCAGCCTAGTGACCTTCCACGTAGACGTATTTACATCAGGGTTTCCCAACCGAATTAGCTCCAGAATCCGCTGAGGGTCAGATGGTTCGGCTAGAATCCAGGAACGCGCCCTAGGTCGGCCAGGAATTTGTTCCTTAGCAACGACTTTAAGCTTTGCGCCTGGCCAAACCTTACCTGTTCTGGAGATGGCAATCCGAAAAAGATCAACAGAACGCTGATCAACGCAGGCGACTAGTTTCACATGGCCCTGAAACCATCCACCGTCGCGACATTTGGGAATTGTACCTGAAAATTCCTTAAGAACTTCGACGTACAAGTCAAGGAGCTTTCGCTGAATTTGATTCCATTTTTCAGAAGTTATAGTGCCATCTGGATCATTTTCATCACTGACTGCCATTACGATGGAGCCCTTCAGCGTGTCACTAAAGGACTTAGTAGTGGTGACGTTGCCACGAAATTTTGCATTTTTGGCATCTGACTTCGAAGCTGACTCATCTAATGAGCGCTGACGCTTCGATACAGGCTCCTTTTTCTCTTCCTTAGAAGTATCAAGGACCTGTTTTGCCCAGGCTAAACTTGCCGTTAGGGACTCGGACGTAACCGAGACATTACCATATCTCTCGAGCAGTCTAGTCGCCCCTCGCCGTTCTTTATAAATTCTCCTGGATGGAGGACCCAACCTTGCAGAGTGGCCAGAACGCGTGGAGATTACTGGTTTGTTAAAAGGTACCCTGTTATTACCGCTAGAAGTTGCGGTAGGAACCTTGGAACTAGCAGTTGCAGAAGAACTTGGTTTAACCGAGCTTGATTTTTGTATATTACTATTTTTTTGGTTCATATTTTAAACTCACGAGTTGCGTAGCAAGGAAAGTCGATCCGGGCAGAGATCCGCTATTCCCGGACAAGGCTATGTTACAACCGGAGGGCGCCAGTTATCCGGAAGTCTTCGTTTAGAGACACACTAACGTAGTGCCATTCATCTCATCGGCACGGGTCAAATAACACCGGTGATTACGGGTTTTATCGAGTTTTCCTCTCTAGATCCATAGTGTTCTGTTAGGTCAATAAACTTATCAACTACAAACAGGTTCACTTCGGCAAGGGTGTGATAAGGCATAGGCTGATGTTGTGCGTATGACCATACCCTGTTCATTGAAAACACGAATCCAAAATTAGATGGCGAAACCAGAAAATTATACCAACATTGAAGAGGAGCATCAACACAAATATTAAAATTGAGCAGCTTTTACGAGTTTATTGAGAGCAGAGTTAGAGGATTGGAAGCAACTCGTGACACAAATCGCGAAAATAAGAATAATTTTCGACCAACAGGTGTAAATACAAAAACGCATGTAACTACAATACATACGCTATGTTTGGTGTGTAATGGTAACCGTCAATTAATTCGATGTTCAAAGTTTCTGAATATGAAGGTGCCGGAACGTCATGAAAAGATTATGTTTTAGTTGACTTCAGAGTGGGCATTTTAGTAAGTTTTGCTTGAATAAAAAAAGATGTACAATTTGCAACAAAAAACACCATCATCTTACGCATGAACAAGTTAAAGGCTAACCAACATTCACAAATAACATAAATAAACAGAGGATGCTAACATTGAAGAACACCACGGCAGCGTCGTACAACATCCAAAAGGAAAAAACTGTTTTACTAGCAACAGCAATGGTAATTATAAGGGCTAAAAAACAACTTAATCCGATACGAGCGCTTCTTGATTAAGGATCACAATCTTGTATTATAACAAAACAATTATCAAACTCATGTAAAACGGTGTCAATGAACAAACAACAAGCATTATAGCTAAATGCTCATTAGAAATTTGATCTATACATGATGAGAATAAGAGCTGTCATATCGAAGCAATAGTGTTACCAAAAATCACATCAAAAATGCCAAATGCAGAATTCACGCAAAGAAAATGGTCGCATATTGATGGATTGCAGTTAGCAGATCCTTGGTATGCTGAACCAAAGGAAATATAATTGTTAATCGGGTCGGACGTGTTACCAGTAGTGTTTAAAGAAGGATCAATTAAAGGGCCAGACAACTCTTCAATGGCTCAAAACACACTATTTGGATGGATATTATCAGACCCTTTAGATGTAGAGTGTACAATCACAAACAAAATGACGTTATGCACTATGGCTTGCGGCAACAGCGACGAGTATTTAAAACGGTTTTGGGTATTAGAGGAAATTTCAAATGCAGACTTAAGAACAGTAGGAGAAAGGCGTTGTGAGAGGCATTATGATTCAACTTCCACCCGCGATAAAACAGGACGATACGTCGTTAGGTTACCGCTAAAAAATTATTGAGAAACGTTAGGTGAGTCCAGAGAGATGGCATTGAAGCGGGTTTTTTCATTGGAAGAACGACTTGAGAAGAATTTAGCACTACAGCAAGAGTACATTATGCTAGGTCACATAAAAGAAGTTAATGAGAAACCAAAGACAAAGGTATATTATTTGCCGCATCATGCAGTTATTAAAGAAGATAGCACGACAATAAAACTTCGAGTGGTGTTCGACGCGTCCGCAAAAACGACATCAGGACAATCACTGAATAGTATTATTATTTATTTGTTCTAGTATTTCAGTTGAGAATGTTTAAAATAGTTTTTACGGCTGGCATTGAAAAAATGTATCGGTAAATACTGATTGCTCATGATGATATAGATCTTCAACGAATTTTATGGAGAAACGGTCGGAAAAAACCATTAAGAGAATATAGATTGAACACGATTACATACGGTACTGCATCTGCACCATATCTTGCCATCAATACGTTATTTAAGCTAGCAAAAGACGAAAGAATGAACAATTTTATGAAGACGATTGTTTGGGAGGCGCTAATACTATTAAAGAATGTAAACAAATACAAGAAGAATTAATCCAACTATTGCGGAAGGGAGGTTTTAATTTAAGAAAATGGGCATAAAACGAACCGGAAACGTCTTTTATCCAAATAAAAGACATTGAACCAGGGTTAGAGATGCAATTTAACAACGACCAAGCAATTAAAATTTTAGGAATAAAATGGTGTCCTAAATTGGATCAATTTGAATTTAAAATAAATACCACGTCATTCAGCTCAAAATACACAAAAAGAGCAATTCTAAGTGATGCTGGAAAACTGTTCGATCCATTTGGTTGGCTGTCACCTGTAACCATTTAAGCAAAAATCATAATACAAAAATTGTGGCCTTGTGCCTAATCTATAGGCACAATGGGAAGAATTTAAATTGCGATTACCTGCAGTTCAGAAAATTACCATGAAAAGATGGACACATCATTCAGATTACTTTAGTCGAGTTACATGGATTTGCAGATGAATCAGAAACAGGATATGCTGCAGTTGTATATACAAAGGTCATCAATGCAGAAAAGGTTACTAGTCCTATTGAAAGACCAAACATTAATATCATCAACGTTGTCTCTAGTCAGAGTCATAGAAGTTCATAAAGGAACAGATAGCTTAACCCGAGTTCCTACAATTAAAACCCAAGAAGGGATAGTAAAACGTACGATCCAAAAAAATATGTCCTCTGCCAATCACTGATAATGTCAAAGAAAATCATATTCCGTCAAATCAAAAGAAGTTCCCACATTCAGTTAAAGAATGTAAAGGGTTTAAAGTTAAATCAACCAAAGGAGAATCAGACACTCCAAATATGTTACCATTGGGAAACATTGTCAGAAATAAAGAAGTAGTTCCAACAAACTCTACTGTAGGAGATCCTAGAGCGCGACGTTATCGGCGAGGGAATCAAAATCGACAGTTCTTGCTATATTTTTGGCATATCTCACATTAGGAACTACATTAGCAACACCTACAGTAACATATCCTGAATCAGGATTATTCATTGAAGGATTAGGCAAAACAAAAATACAAAGAGGAACACTTAGAACCACTATCACATTTCCAATCCGTGACATAATTCAAGATCAAAGGAACGTTAATAACACCATAAAACAATTAACAATGTTGTGTACCAATTTAAAGGCTGTCAATCTTTATATACAATGTGACGATTTAGTTTCCAATTTAAATCATGAAGGGCGGATCTTAAGAACAACCACTGATCAATTGTTGATGGCAGAATCATCAGTTACAAGAAGTCCCCGAGAAATATTAGGTACAGTGTTAACAACATGTTATGGTTTTTTTCTGTGAAGAATGATATCACTTCTTCTCCCAAACAAATATTATATTCTCGGTTGATATTGTAGAGGTAGTAGGTGACGTAGCTATTGAAATCCTATCGGCCGCGCCAATTAATGTAATGATCCTACCGACCACTCATAAAATAATACACCCTTTTCCAGTTTTTAACAAATCAAACACAATGACTTTATTTAACTTAGATTATGTTTATTGCTACTGTTGTTGTTGCTATTGTTGATGTTGTAATTGTTGCGATAATGTTGTTGCTGTTGGTACTGTTGCTGTATTGTGGATAACGACGATATTGTTGTTGATAACGTTGCTGTTGTTGTTGGTTTTCTTATTTTCTAATTTAATAGCTTCTTTAACATGTATGATTTTATCAAATTAATTAAATAACAAATTTCACAGTCCTATTTAAACGATTATTTATTACAGAATTTCATCACACTTTGTACTTTGTCAAACTACTACGCTTAACCACTTTACATTTCTTAGTCTCCAGTTCAAATTTTGAACTCATTTTATATACCTAAACTTGATGCCAAAATCCAATATATGACCTTAGTATTACACTAGTTACTTCGTTGGGCTTTTCCCATAGTTTCATAATTCACTTTGCTAAATTCCCGAAGTTTTATTATTACAAGAATGTTCTACATATTTTTTCAATTCGTCCGCATTCAATATTTTCAAATTCACTTACATCATGACACCAATTATCAGCTAGTGCCAAGTTAGCAACGTTGCTGGAAAATGCAGGGCTGTATTTTCAAAAAAATTTTAAAAAATGATATTTTCGTTAATATAAGGAATTAAACTAAAACAAAAGGCATTATTCTTATAGAGTTTTGAAAGATCTTTCGATTGGCATCTACCAATTTGAGATACGATGCGTATTTTTCAAATTATAGGGAAAATAAAAATTGACCAAAATCGACTTTTTTTGAAAAAATTTATTTTTAGAAAAATCTAGAACAGGCACAATGTTGCACGGAAAAACATCTAATATAGAATTAATCAGGCTATTAACAGCAAAAAAAATCATAAAAATCGAGTGGACCAATTTTGAGAAATTTGATGTCAAAGTCAAATTTCTTAACTCGTCAAATTTCAAGCTTTTTAAAAAATGTAAAACGCAAAAGTATAAAAAAAACTTTCACAAAACCGGATAACTAAGAATCATTTCAATATCTCAACTAAAACATCAAAATATTATTAAAATAAGTATAAATTTTGCACATGTTCCGATATAAGTGCATTTTATTTAAATTTTGAAGGAGGTACAACCTGCACGCTTAAAGTTCCTAAAACTAAATTGATCACTCTTTCAAACAAAACTAATTTCACAAAAATCGAGTAGAACGTTTTTTAATTATATATGTTTAAAAAAGTGGATTTTTTACGGAAAAAATGCCCAGCGGCACCATTATGCCAGCGCTGAAAAAGTAAGTGAGGAGGTAATAGCTCTTCGTTTTTATTTTTCTTTGTTTTCGACATTTGTGTTTGACATAGGCAATTTCGGGGTTGAAATTATAAAAGAATGAAGAAGAAAAGCATATGAGTATTAAGAATTTCTTGTTTTGCCTACATTGTATACATTTAGTCTGCTTTTGATTTTAGTGAAGTGCGTGCAGTGAACAATTTTTAATTTTTAAAATCAAAATAAAATCAAAAATATAAATAAAATATAATTTGTAATTTAACATAAACTCACTGTAAGTATATGCAAAATTAAGTTAAGATATTTAAAATGATAATTATAATTTTTGTTTTGTATTATATAGATGCATACTGTAAGACATTATAAATGTTTGGTGAAAAAGAAAAAGGAGGAATTTTTATCGTTTAAAAAAGAAGGTATAAATGAAACAGGGAATTTTAATCGTGCATTTATTAAAATATTTTATTCTTTTATAGAAAATGATTTTCAAACTTTTGGTACGAAAACAACACCTTCCTGCAGTACAGCTGAACATATTAATGGTGATATTAATAAGTTAATATTTAAATAAATTAATATGAAAATATGTTAACAATTTAATATGTAAATGAGATAATATTTAAATAAATTAACATGTAAATAATTATATATAAATAATTTAAAATGTAAATAAGTTAATATGATATATAAATATATTATATATTTTTATGTAAATATTAATATTTTGATTTTATAAAACATAAATATAAAATATAATTCATCCAAAAAAACTTTTAGTATTTTATTTAAAAATCAATAGCATAGGTAAAATTGAAAATTTAAGCGAACATATCAGCGCTGACATGTTGCATTACAAATTCGAAAAGGTAAGCTAACATGTCAGCGCTGATATGTTGCATTACAAATTCGAAAAAGTAAGCGAACATGTCAGCGCTGATATGTTGCATTACAAATACAAAAAGGTAATCGAACGATTCAGCGCTTGCCCGCAATGACATGCACGTGTTAAAGTAATTAGGAGTTTCCCTTGAATAATCAGCGCTAGGCATTACCATTCAGCGCTGAGGGAATCGATTCCATCAGCGCCGAAAGTCCCGCTGGGTTAAGGTGAAAACCTGTACAAAGCTAAAAATTCACCACCACTGTAAAGTTTATTAAAGAACTCTGTTAAAAGTATTTATAGGCGGTTGTATTCTGTGGTAAGGGGATGATAATAAAATTTAATTTATATAATAATAATATTTTAAATTCAATATTTAAATTAAATTCAAAAATATATTGCATATAAAAAACAAAGATTTTCGTCTGTAAACTGCTAACATATACCGCCATATCGAACATTTTTCAAT